TTCCTGCTGCATTGAAACCAAATGAAATTAATAATGGCTCTACTCTTCTTGTGTTCATCACTTCACGCATTTATCTGCTATAAATAAACCTACCATGTGGTTGACACTTGTGTACGGTGTTGTGTCGGTCACTGTCTCAAAAGGCGAGCGGGCACCATTGGTGTCAGTAGGTGCTGCCACTTCCCAGGAGAAATGAAGCTGTGTCTGGTTAATTCCCGCCTCATCACAGCGCTCCTTCATCACTGGGTATTTGGGGTAATGGGGGTCACAGGGTGTGACGCAGACAAGAGGGTAACCAGGTGAGGGTGTCTTCTTACTGCCCTCTTTAGTCACTTCTTGAACATGATCATAGTCAGCAAGAGAGACCACCTGAAAGGAAAGAATAGGTAATGAAAAAAACATTCAAATATAAATGCTGCAGTGTTTTATGAAAACGTTATGTTATGTCATGTTTCTTCTCTTACGATGGGTGGAGCTGGAAGAATGAGACTTCCTGCAGCTTCCTGGTCCAGAATGGTTACTGTCGCCACCGTGATCTCACCCAGTACTGCCTCCACAGGGTCATCAGGCCCCAGGACCAATGAAAAGGACTCATGCCACTCCCTGTCTTCATTGGACAAAACCTCCACTTTGAAGATAATGTGGTCCATTCCTGTGGAAATACCAGGAGGAAATCAAACATTTGCTTTTCCTTGATCAAAAACATGGCTGTGTGATAGCACTCTTCTTCTAACCTGGTATGAATTTTAGGACTCGACTGTTGGGGTTATAGTCTAATCCAGACTGGGCCGATCCATCACGGGTGCTACAGCGGATTTTAGAAGTCCGGTCCAAATCCCCATGCCTGTTCACCTTGATGTTAAGTACCTCAATGCCGTCCGGTCCTTGGGGTTCTCTCACCTGATAGGAAGCCTGTTCAAACTCAATGGTGGGAGCTACAGAAAGAGGAGAAGATAGTGTGTTGCCACCTGTTTATGACTCAGGCCTAGAAGTAACCAATTTAAAATCCTGACATAAAGCTTGTTGTGATAGACAAGACAGTGACCATGAGCTTCAGTTATAACTTTGTCAATGCAAAGCTCTGCTTACCGTCTTCATCATTGGTGACAGTGATGGTGACAATGTCACTGGCTCCCACCATGGCACCGCTCCAGTGGTCACCCAAAGGTGTCCCAAGATGCACTTGGAACTCTTCTTCGGGCTCAAAGATAGAGTCATCGTTGACATGAACTGTGCAGTTTTTAACCTAGAGATAATTAACAAACCCAAAATATTTTGTAAGCAAAACAACCTCAGCACAAAAGGAAAAAAAAGGAAAGTGAACTCCTTGTCATTGTGACACACCACTGCACTCACAACCAAATGTGACCTCTGCTTTTAACCCATCACCAAAGTTAACAGTGGGCAGCTTTAAGGGGAGCAGTGAGTGGGGACGGTGTCATGCTCAGAGAACTTCAGTGGTAACTTGGCAGCTGGTGGATTTGAATCTGCAACCTTCCGGACCCAAGTCCACTTCCTTAACCACTAAGGCACCACTGCCCTAAATACACCAAGTAAACATTTAAGTAAAAATTCTCGTACCTTCTCTCCTTTCAGGAAGATGATTTGGGACGCGTCAGTGTTTGGTCTCTCCTCAAAGTCGTCCATCACCATGGCTGACATGGTCCTGGTGAAACATCTCACAGACGATTTGAAGGAAAGGTCACCACTGCGGACAACTGGGATATGGAGGACACCATCCCTCTCCTTCACTGTGTAGGAAGTCTTTTCAAACTGCATGCTGGGAACTGACAGTGAGGTAGGGCCGAAGAAAGGTAAAGTGTGTTAATACCAACGCCAAATGATTTTATGTTACTAACAGAAACTCTAGGCACCTATAATTTGTTGCTATCATGAAATCAACAGTATCCCCAGAGTGGGATCAATAAAGTTTAATCTAATCTAATTTAATCGTCCTGTTGTCTAAATGCTCCAGGCACATTAAAAGGAACCAGGGAAAGAACCAGGAGCTAGCTCTGATACCACTATACCCTGACACTAAGAACATGGAACTGTTTTCAATGATTTACACCAGGGATTACCAAAGTATGAAGCTGCCACTAGAGGGTGTGCTAGTTAAATAAAATATAGGGATTTTCCACACCATAAAGACATGTAAGTAAACATTTCCTTTGTAAAATAAAAAATCAAAAGATGACATTTTCATTAATAATTTGTGGAGCATGGCCAAAAAACTTTGAGAACCACTGATTTAAAGTAACAACAGTTTGGTGTAAGACTTACTGTCCTGGAAGGTGTCAGTGATGACAACGTCGGCTTCATACGGCTCCTGCAGAACTGCTCCCTGAGGAGAACTAAGAAAGATGATAAAGGATTCGGGTCCTTCAATGCTGGGGTTCTGGATGTCGTCCATGATAGTCAAACTGCACGTCTGTGGTGGAAAAGAAAAACATGGTCTTTATCATCGTAGATGTTTGCCCTAATGGTAACACAGTATGTTACTGCAGAATTCTTTTTCTCACCTCCTCCGTTCTTCCAGGTTTGAACTCCACCTTTTTTGAGCTGGGGATGTAGTCCACACCTGGACTGGCTGAAGGCGGGTCAGAAGGTCGGGTGGCGCACCACACTGATGTCAGCGAGGACAGATCACTGCCATGGCGCAGCACAGGAATTTCAATAGTTCCTGGTGTTTAAAGGGGAAAGGGAAACATTGTGGAATAAATCCATTATTAAGTAATTTATAAACTTCTTTTCCTAGAAGGATCTGTTTAACAGTGAGACTGAGCTGAGAAGAGATATTCTTCAAATATTTGGAAGTAGAAGTAGAATAGGTGATCTTAAATTAATTATTTATTTCAATTTAATTCACTGTTAAATCTCATGTAAAATGTCAAAGTTAATGTCCAGTAGTTAAGTGATAAAAGGTGCGTTTCTTTTTGTTTCTGTTAATCCAAAAGCAACAGCAAAGTGAAACCTCAGACCTGCAGCTTCACTAAAAGTGAACGTGGCGTTCCCAAGGGACACTGTCGAAGCATCATTGGGTCCATCGATGATCACCATAGCTACCGTCAAGTCACCCATGCGGGCATTATCGGAGGCGTCGGACAGAACCAGCTCGAACTCTTCAGACAACTCGTACTCGCTGTCGTCAATCAGCTTCACGTCGCAGGTAGACATGCTAACCCCAGGTCCAAAGACCACCCTGTTGTCATTGGACATGCCTCGGCTTTTGTAATCTGAGCCAGACTCCAGAGCATGGAGGCTGCTACCTTGTGCAGATTTGGCCACAGTGTAGCAGAGAGCAGACACAGTGCTGGAGGTGTCGCCTGAAGGTAGAGAAAATAAGGTTTTGTTTCTTCCAGAGTCAGAAAACACCTGTCCTGCATCTCAACATCTAAGACTGGTTTCATGTTCAACTGTTATTATTATCAATTATCAAAGTTTGTTGTTACATCTGAGACAGAAATCTTACAAAAATACATCTGAGTGAACATTGACTCAGACACAGATTAAGGCTAAAAAAAAGAAACATTTCTTAGTTAAATATTGTGTGAAATGGTGGTGTAGTAAAAAATAAAGTTAGATTTAAAAAGAGAAATTACATACATTTATACAAACATATATAAAAAGTTAACCTGCAGTTGCTGAAATTAACTCAAAATAACTCAAATAAAATTAAACTGGCCAAAACAACTAAAAGTAAGTAAAAAACAAGTTTCATAAGAATAAACGAAAAAAAATATTAGCGTTGCAGTCACAACATTAGCAATTAGCTGCTAAGAAAAGCGCCACAGCAGGTTGTAGGATGTTTTCCATACCTTTCCTCTCTACAGGAGCGTGAATGAACCCACTACTCTCGTTTACATGGTAGATCTTCTTGTGGAACTGCAGTCTGGGCTCGTCCTCAGTGTCGTTAATGTTGACTACAGCTCGGGTGTTGTGGCCCAGCAGCGCATAGACGGGCATGCTTAGCTCCACCTGGAAACTCTCCACACCCTCAAACACCTTATCGTCATTAATGATGATGGTGCAGACTTTGGTGTCCTCACGCTCATCAAACTGGACCTGAGAGAACATTGAAGAATTAAACAGTTACTGTGTTGTTTGAATCTGAAATTTCTTACTTTTCAAATCTCAGAATTATGAACTTATGCTAAGAATACACTAAATACATCTTAGATGTATTTAATTTGAATTAAAATGTGTTATTTTTAATTCCGTGGAGCTTTGGCCCAGAGGCAATGTCTCTGTCATTGGTGTAAAACCCCAGGGTTCACCTCCTGGGCAAGTTTGAATCCCGGTTACGGTGGTTGGTACCTTCCAGTGGACACACCACCCGCAAAAAGGTTTAGGTACGGTGCAATGTGATTTGGGTGACGACTGCTGCCCCCGCAACAAAGTAACGGATAAGCGGATGAAAATGGATGAATGGATATTTTTAATTCCATACCTTTTAATTTTAGATTTCTTGCATTTGCTCTATAAATATAGTCTTGTATTCCCATAATTATCACTGAAATTGTTATATGATTTAATTATACAATTTCTGGGTTTTATTGACAGAATTACAATATTGTATCTCTAAAATAAATGTGTTTTTAATCTATAAAGAAAGTTAACTACTTGTCATTGTGACACAGCACACACAACCAAATGTGACCTCTGCTTTTAACCCATCACCAAAGTGAACTGTGGGCAGCTTTAAGGACCAGCAGTGTGTGGGGACAGTGCCATGCTCAGAGCATCTCAGTGGAAACTTGGCAAGAATCGAACCTGAAACCTTCTAGACCCAAGGCCGCTTCCTCAACCACTAAGCCACCACTGCCCCCTTAATTAGTTTACAAATAATAATAATATAAAAAATAAAATCTTATCACTATAATTATTTTGAATATAAAATATGCTGACATTTCAATTTCACCTTTACATATGTCATATCACATGTATCATGTTTCTGATAAGTATCATTACCAGTACCTTTAATATCAATGAAATGTAAATGTCTGGGTTTACCTGTCCTGCGTATTCCACGTAGTCCTGTTGACCGGGTTGTGACCCCATGCTGCCAGTGGAGGTGGCACTGCCCTGCTCGGTGCGGCACAGCACCACAGCGTACTGGTTCAGGTTTCCTGTTCGCTTTACCGTCACTGCCACTGTACTGGCTTTCTCACTCACATTGTAGCTGCAAAACACAAGGAGCAGGAGATTAGAAATTCCAACTATTGTTTTTTTAGGATTTTTAGGATTTTGAAGATTCTGACAAAGGTTTAATATTTACAACTCTCCCTGAAATTTAAAAATGTTTTATTCCCTTAAATTAATCTATAATGACAGTTTTTTATTATTAAGCTGAGAATTATAATGTAGTTTTCATAAAAAAAATATTTTTTCTTAAAAACAATTTTAAAAAACAATTACACATGGTCTGATCACAGTAAAGGCCAACAGACCCCGGCTCTGGACAGGGAACAGACCTTTTGTGTTGGAAGCTGATGAGGGACCACTGGATGTGAAAGACGTTGTCTCTGACAGTATTGGGTTTACTGTCCCTCACAAGGAACTTGAAGGTGTCCATGGTCTCCTGGTAGTTCTCCTGATGCAGTACGTAGCGGATCAGACCCAGGTTGATGTCAGCTGCAGAGAGCAGAGGAACAGTCAGGCCATGACATGACAATGAATCTGATCAATGTAATAAAAATCATTAGAACCACTGACACTGAGATTCTGAGTTGAGAGTGTGATTACAGTCTTCAGCCCTGAATGACTACTTGTTTTGTATGTTTTTTCATCTGACAGTTTAGTTTAATCACATGTACAGTATAGTTATGATTTAAAACTCATCAACTGCAGCCATAGGCCGGTTCCTTCTGAAAAAACATTTTATCTTCACAGTAAAATCTCTTAAAGCGTTTGTGTATTTGTACACATTCAGTTCTGGCGTGTAGATAAAAGCCATCTTAGTGAGCACAGGTTTAGTTTATACACAAACACAACAAAAGGCTTAAAATTCGAGGTTCTAGGTTTCTCCAGGACTATGAAAAGTCATGCAGCCAGTGTGTATGTTAGTGTGTGTATATGTGTTCTCGCGTGCTTGTGTGTTTACCTTGTGTAAATGTAGTCACAGTGTTTCCAGGTCTGAGTTTGGTCTCCAGGAATCCGTGTTTGGGTTCATCAGTCACTTCATAAACCAGCTGATCATCATCAGTGTCTGGATCCACTGTCAGCAGCTCCTTCTTACTGATCACATTGGTCGCCTGAAAACACAGCACAACAAGATGACTCTCAATTAACCTTTACTTTTACTATTGTCAAATAATCCCATCTTGACTCTGTATCATCTTGTCAGGGTTTAATTTGAGGTTTTGTTTTGGTTTTTTTGGTTTTTTGTTTGGCAATGCAATGCAAATCATAACATTATCATCATCATCATCATCATATCATCATCATATTCATGACATCTTGTCCCCAGCTTCCTGTTGATCTCATTTGAAAATATTAAAAGTACAAAAGGCGGTCTTATTATTTTGTCTCATTTAATCTCCAATTATCTCATTTCATGACATCATCTTTTATATGTTTAAAACTGTAATATGTCGTTCGGCCACTAGGGGGAACAAAAACATCACACATAATAACTGCCATAATAACTGGCAGCTTTTTGGTACTCCTTCATTCAGAGTCCTGGATAAATTTATTATGATTTTAAAGCTGTTACACATTAATAATCGACAGAACAGGTAAAATAAATGTGTTTACTGAAATATATACTCCAGGCTGAGCTTTTATTTTTATTTTACCTTGTTATCCATGTACTCCAGCCACTGCAGTCCCAGGTTAGTGACAATGCGGGGTGTCCCATTATCCACAGGCAGAATCTCTATCTTAAACTTCTGTGGTGCAGCTGTCAGCACCTGGAAATATAATCCAAAAATTAACATTTTTTTATGTGTATTGTGATCTGTGATCAAGAACAAATACAAAAAAACATCAAAATTCCTTATACGGTGCTGGACTTACTAATAAACCACTCAGACAGACAAGGACACATTTGCCACTGGCCTACTGGTGCCTCCTGTGGTCAGTTTGGGTCACCGCTGGAGTATTTCAAACACTGAAATTTGATAATACAACTTACAGTAGTGACTAAGGTGCCTCCAAAATAAAATCACTGACTCCCTGTGACCTTTGTACTAAGAAAACAAGCTGTTTCCACACCTCAGAGTCATCTTTGGAGAGTTAAAAAGTCAGAGAAATCATCCCAATATTTCTCAGACAAAAAACCTTGAATATCCCTTTAAAGTTATAAAAAACAGTTCCAGTTTCACTGTGATATGATGTCTGACTTGCTGGTGACAAGAAATCAGTGGGGAGGGTCCCATCCCCGACGTTTTCATTGCACAGATGCCATTAAGGTCAGGTTTGACATTGGAGGGATTCGTCCAGACTGTCCTAAAGGAGTAGTTCCATGATTTAATGACAGAGCAGCTGCAGTGGGAATGATGTTAATGTCACCAAACATCATCGGCAGGACACGTCTAAGCGTCCACTCTGATGTCCTCTGGAGAGGACAGGGTGATAAACAGGAGCCTGTGTGTGTCTGTGTGAAAGATATCAGGGCTCTCTGTCATTGACTTAAATCATAAAGACATTAGCAGAGACAGGTGGCACCACGGGGGATGATGAAATTGATGAGCAGTTCACCCTGAGATTTTTCCTCATAACTGTGACTATAAAGATGACACACACAGAAGAATGCACACACACACACACACACACACAAACACACAGACACACACGCACTAGTCTCTTTTCTAAACTATACAGTTAGACTTCCTACACAGGCTCCAAACAGAAATTATTTTCACTGTATTAAACATAGTCTTCCAGTTGATACACTCACCACATTTGACTATACATCAATGAACATAGCAAATGCTGCCGGAAAGTGAGCAGAATTTTTACACCAAAGAAATCCACTGTCTCCTATTTTTCTACTACGGTATTTCCATGTTTCAATATACAAATTATTAAATTATTCACAATAATAAGTGACTGGTTGAGGTGTAGACTCATCATTGATCCACAGTGTGGAAATTTCTTGTCTCTGAACAGAACAAATCTCACAGTAGGTTTTTTTTTTTTTTGTCTTCTGCCCTGATGTTAAAATACCTCCACACTGCTGACATTGTTGATGTAGTCGAATAAACACCCCCCCGGGGGCAGTGCAATATATATTATACTAGAGGGGTCAGACAAAAGCACTGGCAGACTGGTCTGTACCACTAAATATGTAATTTGATCCTAAAACACCCATAGGTGAGGATTACAGCAAAAGTCATTTAAATTAATAGTCTAAACTTTGGTAAATTAAAACGTAGCTTAGAAGTTGTTAAACACAGTAAAATTCAGCCCTTATAGAATAAAAATAAAGCTGAGAAACTAAATGTTTTAAAGAGGTGGCAAAGAACTCAGCCTGACTAGTCCAAAATAATGAATCAAATATTAATGATATACAAAAACCAGATATAAAAACTGGAAACAAAATTTTAAGTGGACCGTAAACAGTTGACCAAGATATCAAAAGGCCAGGCTATGGAAATGTACCAATTGTTTTACAGATCAATTTATAAAACTTTGATTAATTTAAAATGCTCATTTGTACTTCTCAGAAACTAAAAACATTGGAAAAGAGGGAAACTTTTATACATGATGTTCAATTAATGACAAAAACAAGTCAGACGAAAGGCCGAAGAAAGACACGCGCAAACAAAACGCTGATTCACCACTGCTGACATACAAAGGTCAAACCTGTGCATGTACACGTGCTCGCTCAGTCTCAGAGTGGCAGCAACAAAAAAGCTCTTACATTGCCCATCCAATCATCTCACTGCAATAAAAATGTCAGGAATATTTCACACACACACATTCCGCACAGAGGCTGACCTACACAAACAAGCCCACAGACACACACACAAACCTCTTTAGATTGTCAGTCTGTTCTAAGACATGTTGAAGATGGAAACCTCTCTCAGAGTTAAATGTGTCACCCAGCAGCTCTGACAAGTGTCTGCCCTCACCTCTTTTCCTCCGTCCTCCACCATGAAGAGGACATTGGTTCCGTCGCTCACAGTGAAGCTGAATCGGTCCTTCAGAGAGTTTGAACCGTCGTGGTTGTAACTGATACGGTTCTGGTAGAGGTCGTCCATGCTGAAGCTGCTGGTCTGTCTAAAATGCTGACCATTGCTGGTCCGTTCGATAGCGCCGTGGCGCGGAGGCTGGACAACTGTGAAGATGATGGACTCTGCCTAAGTGTGAGAAAATTAGTGGACAATTAGTGACAACTATTATTCAAATTTACTTGACTTTCTGCACTTATCAGACATGAAACTGGTTTGCTACCTGATCACATGGTCAGAGATAATAACCCATTTATGACACAAGAGAAAAAATTAAAATATAAATATATTCCTAGTGTGTTATAGTGACCATCATTAGAAACAGCCATGGTTCAAATCCCTGATCTTTTTGCTGTAAGGCAAGAATACATCCCACCATCCAGTGTAGTGCTAGAACTATTTACATTATTTTTATAGATATTTTTAATTTATTGCTTTTTTTGCACATATTTGTATTGTGGTACCATGATGTTGGGCAACTCCATAACAACTCCAGCTCCAACTATTGTAGAAAGAGAGAGAGACTGTATTAAAGGTTTCTGACCATGGCAGGTCCAACAACGAATCTCATCTGAACATTCACCAACAAATCCCAACATCTGATACATGCTGATCCTTCTTATAGGCATAGACAAAACATGGTCACATTTGGCTGTTGTTCTGACCAAACATGGTCAGACACTTTCCAGACGCCAACATGAAGATGTTGCCTAATATTTGGCTCACATTTACCCAGGTCATTTGACCTGTTCTTGCCAGTGCAAGTCTCCAGTCTTCCTGTTATTCTGACATCAGTTAGTCCTGATGAACATGTCAAAATATAGCAACAGCTTCTTTTTGTCAGTGCTTGGCGTTTCCTGTTATTCTTTACATGATGTTTTTCTCTACCACATATCCCCCCTGAAATCACTTTTCTGTGATTTGAGAATCAAAGTACTTTTCCTGTTCTCTGGTGTATAGGAGTGAAAAACCTGACCAGTGTCTTTAAAATGACCTTCTGGCCTTAAACACAAACATCCACTTTGATCATTTCCACTTAACATATGACCTTCAGTACTAACATCCACATTACCACTTCAACCTAACACATTAAATCAACATTCAATCCTCCTTCATAAACATCCAATAACTCTAACCCATTCAACACTGAAATGTCACCTTTTCGTGAGTACAGTATATAATATGATTACAGTATAATAATACGATAGTCCATGTAAGTATATGGCTATATTTATTTTATAGGATTGTACATTGTTTACTTGCCTCAGTGTCTGCATCAGTTGCCTTCAGCTCAAACTCTGTGATGGTTTTCCTCACACCCTCCTGGACTCTCATTCCAGGAACATGGAGCAGAGGCAGTGAGTCATCTACAGGTTTGATGGTGATGTAAAAGCTCTGAGCAACCTGACCAAACACAACACAAAGAACATTAAAAAGATACAGTGGAATTTTACATGTTTGTAAATGCACATTAATTTAAAATATAGATTTTTAATACATACCGGTAATTGTATAATCAATACAATTCCAATATATGGAATGATTATATATCTTCAGGAACTTCTCAATGAGTTCAACAGACAGATTATAGTTTATTATGATTTTTTTTTACACATGCTGTACCAGACCAAAATCCAAGAGAAAAAATTAATAAAACCCAAATATGTTGGATGTTATATCAGAAGGTTTTAACATAATTAATTTTATTATTATTATTTCATAATAGTTTAAGTCAGTGATTCCTAACTATAGGGCTGCGGCCCAAAGTTGGGTTGCTAGAGCTACGTAGAGGGCCGCAAAAAAACCTTCAGTTTCGCACCTGTGGACCATGGGTTCATTAACTGAAGCCACCAGAGATACTGTTTGTTGCCCATGAGAAGTTCAGTTACAATGCAGCTTTAAACCACGTGATGGCAGTGATGCATCAATTAGTTATTTCACAAGCTCCAATATATGCTATAGCAAAAACTATGGAGGAGTTTTTAAAACAGAGAAATGAAGACAAACGTTGTGTGTGTGAGGTTAATTAAACTTACATAGTGTTAATATTTAATGAGGCTCGGGCCACTGTACTATAAAAATTGGCCTTTATCACTATGATCAAATTTACAATTTTTCTACTTCAGTGTTTGAAATTATCTGTTAAAATGTTCTTTAGTGACACAAACAGCCGCATGAAGCAGCAGAGACCACAAGGTCCTATTACTGTGAACTCAGGTTATTTATTTTCTCTGTGGATTTTGTTGTGGGAGGTTTGCACAGCCAGGCAAACATGAATTTTATCTTAACTGCTGAGTTTGTTTGTTTTTTTTCTTAGAGGCTTTGACCGTGTCAGAGCATTTTGACCCAGAGAATAATCGGTTCTCCACAAGGAACCACCTGGTTCATACAGACACCGAATCACCTTAACAAGGTTTGTAGATATTTTAGATTTTGGATAGTTTTACCTCATTTGTCCCGTCAGAAACAGTGAAAGAAAACTGGTCCGCATGTTTTTCTTCTTCACTGGTGTGGACGTACTGGATGCTGCGTGACACTAGATCAGCCTGAGTGAAAGTACTGATCTTAGTTCCTTTCAGAAAGAGAGAAGAAGTTATTCCAGAACACAGTCCTTCATTCTTTTGATTTTAAACATTTCTATCTCAGTTGGTTGTATTTTTTTTTAATATGTTCTCAACACGTTTTTTTCTCTCTCTCTTTGCAAATATGCAGGAACTAATCAGTCTGCAGCTCCTCCTCACCCTATGATAATAAAACAGTAGAAAACAATGTTTAATTAGACCAATCAAACATTTGTCTGTGTGTAAACACAAAAACAAAGTCAACTGACTATACCCTCGCTGTTGCTACAATTTTCTACTCCAAATAGTCTGGACTTGTTTTAGGATTTGTTTTTAATCCCATTTGTTGGATCATGCAAATGTTAACATCATTTCTCAAAAAAAGACCAAAGGATTTCCCCCTTTAATTAATATTAATGGACACAGTTTGCTCTTAGTCACAGGGAGTGTTTATGTTGTTTTCAGACCAGAGTTCTGTCTGGCTCTAATTGAATGTTTATATGCAGAGGGAATTGAACTACGGACAACACGATCACGGCCAGTGGTATATTCTTCTTTATTATTATTACTATTAATGTTGTTGTTGACCTCACTATAGGAACAAACAAACAGGAGTTTCTGGTTGTGACGACCCCGTCCTCTTTTCTGGTCATTTCTTGGTGTGTCTGTTTTCTTTTAGGTTTTTCCAGGTAGATGGGTGGAGCTACTAATTGGATGTGCACCTGGAAGGCTGGGCCTAGGTTATTTAACTGGCTCCTCCTTCTCATTCTTTCTCTCTCCGACCATTTCTCAGAGCACCTGCTTCCTGTTTGGTTTGTGATATTTGGTTAGAAAATAAATATTTTTGTTTTAAGTTACTTAAAAGTGTGTGGTCTCCCATTTTTGTCTTGCTCTCTGAGCCAGGGCTATGACATGGTACTGTGAGAAACATCTTAATCCCACACAGGAACATTGACCTGTGATCTTCTGGACCTACCTGGGTTGCTGACATGCTCCAGGTGACCCAGAGTTGTCTGTTTGGTGATCCTGTAGACCAGTTCTCCCGGTTCACTGTCCTGGTCACTGGCAGACAGCTGCAGCGTGGTCAGCTTCTTCACCGTGTTCTCATCCAGTACCAGACCTTTGTTCACCACCACAGACGGAGGAAGTCGGTCCTCTGCAGAAAGCACACCAAGAAAATGATTACTTTAATGATTACTATAAATATAGCGAGATGATTCTTTATACCTGGAGATAAAATGCCAGTGAAAAAGACAGATTAAAAACTGATGTGTGAGGACAGGAGGAGCAGCTGGAGCTCCAGGAGTGAGAAAGAACACCTGTAAAGAACATTACCAGAAAATGAGGAGAGAAAGAGTGGCAGTCACCAAATAGATGCGATAAAATAGTGGAAGGTCAGAGCTAAGTATGGCAGGAGGAGACATGGGGTAAAAAGTTGGCAGACAGAATCAAGATGCTGAGTTGAACAAAAAAAAAAAAGAAAAAAAGAAGCCATTTTCAACAATAAACAACAACAACATCAGCTTCTGAGGCAGACACACATTTTAGACACTTAATTTACCAACCGAGACAAACTTTAGGACACAAACAAACAAGTGTTTTTATCCACAATTTGCATATCCTGCAGAAAAGTGGAGTTTATAAAAAATACTCCCTGTCACTCAACAAAGTGCAAAGGGACACTCAGTGATTTCAGATCGCCTAGGAACAGATACTGCTGATTCAGTGCTGCCAACATAAATAAGTGTGAACTGGTTTTGTGATGGGGAATTTATTCCTGTAAAACCAATGATTTGCTGCATGGAATTTGATGCAAGAGAGCGCATGACTGGCAAAATGTGTAAGTATTCAAATACAGATGTAGACATAGACTTCAGGATATAATAGACGTAAGGTTGTGTACATCATGCTCAGTTTACTTCTAACAGTTGGGGCACTAACATGTCTGGCAGAGCTAAGTGAACCTTATTGCATTAATCAAGATCACATTCAATAATAATGAACCTTCACCTGTATAAAAATAAACAACACATGGTTTGTTTACCAATAAAAACCTTTGTTCTAAATTTAAGCTATTTTTTGTTTCTACAACACAATTTGGATTCAGTGTGTGTGTGTTCCAGAGATACATGGGAGCAGTAATTGCCTCCTTTCTCCTGTGTCTCTTTTCATTTGATCTACGGTGAAGAAGAAGAAGAAGAAGAAGAACAGAGAGAAAGGGGAGAAAACATACCGAGGACACTGATGAAGAACGACTGATCGATCAGTTTGTTTCCCTCTGGGTCCACTAGGTTGAACTTGAACAACAGGCTGCCTCCCTTCTCTCCTTTCTCATGACTGTACTGCAGCAGACCTGCAGGATACACATGCACATGTGGACTTCACGGTCAAATAAAGCTCCAGGTCAAAATGTTCAAAAACAACTTCTGAACAAACAAATCTGTCTTTTTTAATTCTCATTCTCACGTGGTCTTTTAATGATCCCGTTGGATCTACACTTATTTGATCAAAACCTGTGTAAAAAATGTCAAATTGGGCTTCTGTAGCTCACACCAAAAACGGTGTCCTTAACCCAGTTATTCCCAAGAAAAAGTGGGGTGTGACAGATCATCAGCTGTGCTGTGGAAAACGATCCAATTACACTTAGTTGGTCTCAAAAAATATTATTTATTTTCTGCATATAATGTGTCCTTGTTTGTTAATACCCCCATCAAATGCAGAACAATTAAATACCCTTCCACTAGGTGGCAGCAAATGGCTATAAAGATTTGAAAAAAGCGAGAGACTCAGAGCTGTGGAAGAATGGCATCTTGTGTGTCTTTCTTCAATTTCTGCAGGTATAGCAGGGTTCTATTCAACTGAACGGGCCTAGGACAGAACATGCCTTAATAATGTGCAAGGGAACTAGGAAGGTTGGTAAACTCTGGTTTAACAACAAGATTGAGAAATAGGGATGTCACAATACACTCAACTCACGATGCAATATGAATCACAAACAAAAACCTTGGTAAATATTCAAAAATCAGAAAAGAAAAATGAAATAATCACTAGAATGTTTAATTAAGGTTTAAATTAGTGAATGCAGAAACCCTTTTTCCACCTTTGCTGACATCGTCCTGTGTGAAGCTCTGAACTGGACCTTTGACAGACACTTTCTCTAGACGTCCGTTTCTGCTCAACTGGAGTTTTCCTGACGGAGGATCTTTTGTGAGGATGTAACGGAGCTTCAGGCTGTCGGAGTCAATGTCTGTGCCCTTCAGGTTCTGCTCTGTGACCTTAGAAGAAGATCCTGAAAAAAAGAGAAATGTAATCTAGGAATTTGTCAGACCCTTTTTAGATTTGTGAAAATGTTAGTGGTAAAACTGGAGATTTTAAAACTAATCTCTACAATGGTGTCATAATGATAAGATTCTTCTCCTTCAGTTTTGCGAACCGATTTCCATCACAGGGAAATGGGGGGGCAGGTCTTCTGTTGCCCCCTATTGGTTAGTTTGTGTCATAGAGGTAATGATAAGTGGGGGATTTCAAACGCAAATCCTTAATCAGTGAAACCGTTTAGTGTTTTAAATCAAAAGACCTTACTGATAAACTGTCAGGTAGTGGAATTCAAATGTGGACATGATGTCCATGGCATCAGATTCAGGTTAATGTCTAACAGGGCCAATGAAAATCCCTGAACTCTTTTGTCAGCTCCCCCTTACCCCTCTCACCTGCTGACAGCTGCAGACCCCTGTTGACTGTCATCCTTGGACCGTACATCCATGGTAAACTCCAGACGTCCTGTGTGTGTGTTTACACCATCGGTCAGGGTGAAGCCCATCTCGTCCACTCCCCCGCTGACGATCTCGGGTGTGTATACCAGCAGCTGATCCAGAACATCCTGGTACGTGAAGGTTGAGCCCTGCTCCAGGATGCGACCGCTCTGCAGTGGCTGAGAGTAAAACTGACGTCGACGTAGTTTTCCTGAGGCAAATATGATAATGTTTTAGCTCATAGCCTTTAGCCTGGTCTGACAGTTAGTCAAAAACAGAGGCAGTAAAAGGTAATAAATGTGACAGCTTAAACTTAGCTAAAATATAACTTTAAATCTGGAGCAAGGAAAAAAACATAGCCAGAATTGTTACACATAATAAAAGTTGCAAATAATAATGACTCTGATTAGATAAGAAGTTCACACATCCATCACAGAGTACAGAAATTCACTGCATAAATGACTTTATGCATTAATACACTTTCTACCTTTGCCATATGACCGTTTTAAAATCTACAAAATTATAATTAAAAAAATAAATAAACATTAGTAATTAACCAGTTCATAAATAAAGAATTCATAACGATAATCTTACTACGTGTGTCTTTGTGTGTGTGTGTCTCTGTATCATCACTTATCGCGGCCCAGTCAGACAAACCCTTCACTGGTTTTATGTCTGTGTCAGTCATTAATATCTGTGTTTTTACAGCACTTTTGCTAATTTTATTGCCGCATCAGTGGTTTTTACAACAGTGTCAGCCGTTTTACGGCAGTGTCTGTTTGGCTCCTGCAGTTTATGACCCTGTTCTCCTCCAGGTTGGTGTTCTGAAAAAAAGTCTGACAGCTGCAGTCCAGAAACATGAATGAAAATAAATACCTTTGTGAAACCTATATGATTATTTTTTATATAGTTTTAGTTCTTGTTTAGTTTGTCAGACTATGTATAAGGCAGTGTTTTTCGTTGTTTTTCAACATGGACACAACTACAAAAACATACGTATGTACCCAAATAGCATAGTACATTTTACTAATTTACTCAATATGTGTAAATGAATTTACCAAAACAGAAATAACAATATAATACGGTACATGCTTTTGTTTGTTATAAGGTGATAAGTAACATGATTATTATTTTCAACAAGTATTTTGGTGAGGAGTAAATTATAACACACCAAAAAAAAAGATGGTTGGAGCTGAAGGATTCTCCTTTTAGTGATTTGACTGGGTTCCCAGCTGATGTCCCTGATTAGTCAGCTGTAAAATGTTAAATATGCACTGAACATATTTCAGCCGCTGCATTAGGATGGTGGAATGGAGGAGTGACTGTGATGCAAGCCAATCAAACTTATCCACACTAGGCGATTTTTCAATTTCATTTTCAATGGATGTTGATGAATGTCAGCCCCTACTGGCCAGCATTCATACTGCAGACAATATGAGATGGTCTGTGGACTGAATATTAAATGTGAATTATTTAATTATTTAATATACTTTTTCTATGTTTATTTATAGTTCATGGTGATTTCATTTCATCATTGATGCATGTGGGCAGCAGAACTTTAGCATGAATGTTGGATGAGTAAAATTACACTTGGCAGAGCAAAAACCTCAGCTGCGGTCAAAAAACAGAGTGAGAAGTGTGATTAATGTGTGTCCCTGTATGTGTGTGTAGGTGTTAGTGTGTGTGTCTTACTATTTTTTTTCACTCAGCACTTGATCAGTTTTCTGCTGCAGAGCTGGGTCAGGGCCCACAGATGGTGTTTGGGGGCAGCCAAATTAATTGACACTGTTTTATTTTCCTCCGGCCACTTTTTAAATAAAGATTTAGGTGGGGTTTTTAATACAGTATTGTATTAAAAAAAATGTTTCCTTCATAAATCTCTCGTTAGTTGTGTGTGATGACATAAAAAGAACATCGGCTTTAACAGAAATGGCAGAAAAAAACCTCAGACACGAACTTGTCATGATTTAAACTGCGTCTCAGTAATTTGTCTCGTTAAAAAAGCAGGTTCATGCTAAGCCTTTTTCCTCTCAGTGGCCAACAGATTGATGGGGATGTCTCGATTTACGGTTGGGGAGGCTGTTATGATTTAAATTCTGCACACAGCAATAAGAAACTAATGGTGCTCACCGTAGGTAGGAATTCTGATGATGGTGAACAGGATCTCGTTCTCCGGTGTGTCATGGTCTCTGACCGTGAGAGAGGAGTTCGTGATGACGACACCTGAATTTTCCTCCACGTGGATGCTGCTGACTGACACCATGGGCTGAGTGTCCTCTTTGCTCTTCATGTGCCCATGCACATATGACACATGAACAGAAAATGAAACAGATATTGTTAGATACATTCAAGTAATGTTTAGTATATTTATAGTTTTATAGATAAGATTTATAGGATACAATTTAACTGTTTGCTATTTTTAACTTGGCCTTTTTGGCCTAGCATAGCTCACAACAAGTTTAATTCATGTCTTTATTAAAACATAGCAATTAAAAAAAAACCTAAATCGCCAACACATCTTTTTTAATCTAATGCACCCCCTAGTGGCAGGTCTATTCTAAGCTTATACTATAGAATCTATAATCGTCCAAAAAACACCAGACTAGTCACTGGGAAACATTCTTAGTCCCACATCAAAGTCAATGTCATAGTGTTTACATTTGATAAATGTAATGAGCTGTTTTACCTGAATGTTGATCTCCACATTGAAGGCCTCCGTCTGGGTGTGTCCATCACTGATGTAAAAGCTGAAAACGTCCTGCTTCACTGCAGTTTCTAGGTCACTGTTCTGAACGTAGAAGATGTAGTCAGACGTCAGGTCCTCAAATGAAAAAGGAACTTCAGGTGTGATGACCCTCGAGCCACCAATTGAGCCTCCTGGTGGAAAGGGGGAAAAACACAGCAATCAAAAGCTGTGAAGATGACTCAAGTCTAGACTTGAGGTGCTAGAATTTGTACCAGGAAATAGGTAAAGTTCCGTGATTTCTAACAGAAAAGTGAACACAAGGGACACAGTGTGTGACCAGTGTGAGAAATGACACTGAGCTGCAGCTACAAACAACAAGGCAAAGATTCTCACCTGGCCTGGTGTTTTCAATGAAGCCGTATTTAGGAGGACTGACAAGCCACACCAGCAGCTCCTTTCTGGGTGTGTCAAGGTCCGAAACAATGATGTGATTGGTTGACAACTGCACACGACCACCCTCCTGGACCTAGATGTGACGAAAGAAAGAAAGTGGAAAATAATATGTCAATTGTTGATTATAGCTCACATGGAAACATCCACCAGTGTCTTAGATAAAATGTCTCTGTTCTTGTGTGTGTTGACCTTGATGCCACCATGTACAGTGACCACTGGGGGCAGTCTTCTGAGTGAGGCAGTAATAGTTATGGTAAACATCTGGTTTTCCAGTCGATTGTTGTCAGCATCGTAGACGATAAAGTGGAATACGTCAGTGATGGGCTGAGAGTCGGTTTGAAGTGAGGTGATGTACCTGCAGGTAAGACGACGTTACGCTTTATAAATATTTTTATTCAAGAAACAAGGTTGTTTAGAACAGAAAGTTTAGTCTTTAGTCAAAACCCTTGGTTTTAAACGGTGATCGCTGCTTGGTATAAATTGCTTGCACGTCCTAAAGAAAAATTCAACTGACACAGTTCTTGGTGTTATCACAGCCTATTTTCTATGCAAATGAAGAAGTTGTTACTGTAAAATTAATATCTGTCAACAGGGGGCCTAGTGCTTGAGTGAAGTAAATTGGCTTCATTGACACATGCTGAGTTACTTTAGAAAAGAAAATATTTCTTTTCTCTCTTCATTAAACTTAAACTCTTAATTAAACCTGGGATTTGTTTGACATTCACATTGACAGTTGATTTTAGCTCAAGCACAAGCTGTCGATCCAGTTTGCTCAGTTTGTGTCACTGAGCTAAATCTAAATAAAGAACCTCAAACAATGAAGACACAAAACAACATGTGATGGAGGCAGTGGCG